GCACATAAAGGCGGTTGTGATTATTAGTTTGTTTTTGTCTGTCCAGCTAAATTGAGTTAAAAGCCGGTTTTTCTTTTTAATTTTATAATACAAAAATACTTTTTACGTCATTCTTTTGGCCTATTGTTTAATTCAAGTATCAAAATTTATATTTTTATATATAAAAGTAATAGGATGAGTCAGATTTTTTATTTGCATAGATTTACTGGATTTTTTAATATTGTTTTGAATCATTTAGATAAATTATTAAATTACAATATATAAACACTCAGATTTGGTTTGAAGTTTGAGCTTGATATTTTTTTATTTAATGACATGTGTGGTAATTTAAACTGTATTTATGTTCATTTATATTTCAAATTTTAAAACGTATATTTATTCCGTTTTTTAAATTTGTGTTAATCTAAAAACCTTAGTTTCATTTCTATCTATATGAATTTACTTGTTAATCTAAATTTAGAAAATTTATTCCAATCGATTTTAAATGTAATCACGTCAAATACAATTAGATATGATTTTCATTTTCGACCGCTTTTAATATTTCATTGGCGGCGGTGTGGTTGGCTACGTATTTTTGAAATTACTAAATTCAGAGTAACGTGGATCCCATTGAACCTTTAATCATTGATGGATTTGTGTTGATTTTTTTTTACCACATTTAATTATAATTAGCGTCGTTGTTTTATGTAATTAGACCCTCCTAATTACTGATCTTGGTTTGTCACCCCATTTAATTACTTTTTTATTCACTTACGCCGTACTAGTCTCAAGTTCTCAACCCTTTTTTAATAATATGTTAATTCACCGTTCATTTTTTTTCTATGAAGTGAAAAAAAAAAAGTTTTTAAATTTAAATCTTTACCGACAAAACATAATATTAGAGCGTGAAGACCGGTTATTTCAGATTTGCTTAGACTGTAGTTGTTTGGCCCGGTTTATCTTGGTATAAGTTTGATGGAGTGACATTATATATGACCGGTCTTCATCATAGTTTCGACATATTGAATATTCTCGGTCTCTACAGAGATATATATGTAAAAATGTAATTTTTTTGTTAGAATGGAATTCTATATGTGTATATATTTTGATACAAATTTTATGAGTAACGGTTGAATTGAAGTTCAACCAAAATTAAATTTTAAAAAAAGTCCTTAAACCCTTGGTTTATTATAAGTCGCGATGTCCAAATCAGCTAAGGGAAACAAAGCCAACAGCGTAACAAGTTCAGTTTTAAAAGATTTGTCGGCACAAAGATAACTATAAGAAATATATATATATGAAAACTAAAAAAAAGGAATTTTTATTCAATGAACTGTGAATCGTGATAATAAATATTGAATAGATAATTCAAAGGCGGAATTTAAAAAGGGTGGTGAGTTAGATGTGGGTCTCTTTCCGTCTTTCGGGATTCAAGTTAATGGGTTGCCCATTTCACGTTATATCATACATAATTAGCCTACCCGTAATTAATATTTTTATTATATGTATATATATATATATATATATCAATCTATTTAACATATGAAAAGATATAGCCCTAAATAGTAAATACTCTCCTAAGATTAATAGACTATTGTCTGCTATTATTCCCATGCATGCATGATCTACACTGTCTTTTGTGATCTCTACTTTTGGTTTTGCATTCTAAATTGATTTCATCAAATAAATGTCATTTCTATTTCTGTAGATAATTCTTCAAATCGCAAAAATGTATTCTAAAAATATTTCCAAATTATCGGTTGGGATAACAAAATTTCGCATTAAATAAATTATCAATTTTTTCGAAAAAATTTAATCGATTGTAATATTTTGACAAAGGGATTTTTTTTTTATCGTTTTATGATTGATAAATTCGAAGGAGAAAGAATAATGCCGTTGTATATAATTAATAATATTATAATATTCATTAGACAAATATTAATAATTCTTATAAACAATGGAAATAAGAAGAATTTTGCACCGTTGGTTTAATTGGTTTGAGACCAACCATATCACATGTTTCCAACATTATGCAGATTTTGTTAATTTCTTTGTTATTATTACATAATTCAAATCAGTGATATATGCAATAAATAAATGCTATATATAGATTTACATTATATTTAAAAATGTTTTACTTTACAATGCTGATATTTCTAACTACAAAATTTAAATAAAAACAGAGGAAATAAAGCTACAAAATTCAGTAACTCAATTATTGATGGGGTCGCAAGGAAATTTAAGGTGGAAAATAAATAAGAACAAATAAAGAAAGCAAGTGAATTGAACCATATAACCATACGAGAGATTGTGTGGTCCAACCCAAATAAATACACATATTTTTTTTGACAGTTGGAATCCAACTACAGTATTTTGGGCGCGGTGATAAACCTTTGGTTTCACGTAATATCATGCAAACTATGTGGAATAGATAAGCCATCCAAAAGGTGACATGTTCGCTGAGGAGTGAAGTCGAACTCATGACCACTTGGAGAATCATAGACCTTTTAACTACTACACCAGACCGCGAAAGGTATAAATACACATATTTGCTAACAAAAAGAGAGAGAAAACGAGTGAGATATAAAAATATATAATTTATAGATTATAAAATAAATGAATGAGATTGATAGTTATAATAACTTCTAAGTTGTTTTTTTTTTATAATTTTTAATAAAAATTATAACATGTACCGTTGTTATTTAGATATATTCCATCGTGAGAAATTATATATGATTGCATGTGGTAAAATTTTTACAAAAGCAGCATAACAATAATGTTTGATTTGAAATTTGGAAAAATTCCAAAACTATGACCTTCTCATTTTTCATAAAATAAAACTTAAACTTTGTTTTTTTATCGAATAAAACACAAATTTTATTTTTAAGTAAAAAATAAATCCAATTTTTTTTTAATTTTTTTTAATCATTTTTAACCATATTACTGACATGGTGTTTCGATATCGTGACATATGGATGACGATGTATCAAATACGGTCAAAATATTGATTTGGCATATAAGATATCGAAACGTCACGTCAACAACAGGGTTAAAAATGATAAAGATTATAAAATTCGGATTTATTTTTTACTGAAAAATGAAGTTGAACTTTTATTTAATAAAAAACCAAATTTAAGTTTTATTTTGTGAAAATTAAGAAATTTACAATTGGGAAATTCCATTGAAATATTAACCCAAACAAAGTGGAAAGATATCCTTCAATAATAAAAAAGGAGGTTGAATGATGGAAACGACAAGCAATATAATAACCCAAATTTAACATATATATATATATATATATATAAATTATCGGGAATCATACCCCAGTAGCCTTATGTGTCAAAGTATCTCTATTCTCAACCCCGAAAACGTGCATCCTCTGCAGTGTGCCAATGATCAATTGTAATGCGGTCACTTGGGCCTTTGAGTCCTGTAGAAGAAAATACATTTCCTAGCATGAGGAGACTACAAATTCACCTACTTCTTTTGCTACAAACGTTGGACCGTGAAAGGAATGAATTGTCAGGCCCAGCAGATTAACTAACCGAAATTTCTTCTTCGTATAAAATGTAAGCCTGGGTGAAAAATTCGTATGCGATTGGTTCTTCATTACAATCATTTGCAGCCTGGTGAATCAGGAAAATGTGTAAGTGTATTACATAAGTAAAGAGAACGTGACATTTTCATTGGGAAATTTATCTTACCTCGGCACATTGCAGGTACAATCGGAATGCCAATTCAGGAGCCGGAACAATAGATAGAGCTTCAACGGTCTGAAACAAACAAAAAGATAAGCCCAAAAAAGTTTAGAACTGAGGACTGAAACAAAATAAAAACAAACCATAGTCCGATAATATAAACAAAAATATGATAGAAATAAGAACATGGCATGTCATCTGAAAGGCAGTTAATCGTATTTCAAAACCAACAATTGCTGGCCTCAACTTGGGTAGCGAAACTCGGCCGATATTAACTCAAATAACTCAAATTTGAAAACATTTGTCATTCATTCAAAGACAAGCCAGATACAGTAACTGTTTTCCAATCTTTCCATTTTATCTAATGGAAAAGTATTTCCATCCTCTACAAACTGAAGTGAATACTGTGGTCACAAACAACTAGAATAGGAAATTTATGAGATCTGACCTGATTCAGAAACTGGAAGATTTTAGTGGCTGTAATAGAAGCCTCTTTTCCAAAAGGATTTTCGTCCCCTTGGACTTGCAATCTCCTGATTAGCTACAATTTACGATAAAATAGGTAAGAATAGTCATATCTTCTTAAAGAGATGAATTCCACAAACTATATCATCAGATAACTATCCTCCTATAGTATTTCAGGGTTTACTAAGGATAAATAAAACAGTAAAATCAAGGCCCTTGTAGGATTGAAATCAACAATACCACAATGGGGATCAAAATTAAAATTAGTGCCAAGAGGTTCCAGAATTTATATCAAAACATAATGTCCATGCATTTTGAAAGATTCGTATACATAATCAAACCTTAAGAGCCGAAACAACAAGAGGAGGAATGGTGAATGTGAGACGCTTAGGCCCTCCAGTAAGGAAATGCTTCTTCAGGGTACTGAGGATCTACAAGCAAGAAAACATCAACTTAGACAGTGAAGGCCAAACCATAGAATGCAAAAATACATAATGAGACTTGGTGGATAAGTAGAATGTATGACTGGCTTGAAACTATAACAAATGAAGAACAAAAACTCTTGCAAAACAGTATGTTAGTGCAAGATGAAGTTCTTTGGGGGGGGGGACATGAAGAAGAAATCGACACTCAAGGTAATGACGAGAAAGACTAATCAATGATCTCAACAAGCAAGAATTAGATGCACCTTAAACATTTCTTCTTGATCATCATTATATAACATGTGAATGAGACGCGCAACAGAATTCTGCTCCTCCATAAAATCATCTTCATCAACCTAAAAGTGTAAGAGTAGGGAGAAACATCAGAAATAAACTTCGTTTAGGGTTTTGGTAGAATAAGAAGGTTCAGTCTCAGGGCACAGTATAAAAAGAAAATGACAGTAACAACCCCATGCTGCTGGGTCTCATCCAAATCCTTGACAAGCCCTTTTATCAGTTCAAGCAGTGCTTCAACCTACCAAAATAGATCAAGAAAAAGGTTAAAGTATCCCACCATCCAAACAGTTTGAAATGTAAGACTAGAAAGGTTATTGACCTTCTCTGCTGTAGCAATATGAGTATTGTTTCTCATAATACTTTGGATTATAACGGTTGCCATTACTCTCTTTGTCTCATTGTCGAGGTACTCCATGACAAGAGGGTAATTTGTTAATTTCAAAGCTGTGACAACATCATTGTACTTTTCCAGTGGAGAACTTAAAAGTGTGACTATCTGCTTTGTTGCATGGTTGTCATCAATCTTTCCTCTGCCAGAAAGTTGCTTAACACATGATCCCTGCGGAACAGAAGAATAAATTAGTTTTTCCAACATGAAGCACAGATGAACCGACAAAATCATATCAAGTAATGGAAACGTAGTTCCCTTCCCTTGCAGAATAACCACACAAGAGGACCAGGCACTAATCAAATCAAAATATCCATAATTACAATTGGAAATTATACTTCAGCATAGAAGAAAGGTGACAAGTTTCTTTTCAACAGTTACATTCAGAAGACCCGCACAGAGATACGTTCCCCAGCAGTTCAGTAGGACAACATACCAACACTTGGTCCGCATAATCAAGTCTATCAGGGTGAACATGGAGAGTGAATTTGAGAAGGGCCGAATATAAGGTCACTGCACCCAGGATCGGCATCTCTGCCTGCGCTTCTATCACCTGCATCATTACAACGATTGTACGCAATTAACAAACAAATAAAAAATGCATCATAAATACATAATTTCAGAAATCACACAGATCTACAGAACTTGATATGGAAAATAGTTATAAAATAGTATATCCAAACCCGACACATAAGAATCCGGATCTAACAAGAACAAATAATTCAAGCTGCATTCCAGAGCACTGAAGTGATACTAAAAACAGATCGTTTGCCGTTAAGACTCAAACTTAAAGTAGGAGAAGTAAAGAAAATAAAGAGTCGTGCCTTTTCCGCAGCTCTTGCTACTCTAAGAAGAAACTGAAGTGGGATTCCTGATATGCCAGTAATCCCCTCCATACAGAAAAGTAAAAATTGCAGTGTCCTAGACCCGAAGGTTACCTTTCCAATTGCATTATTCAACTTTGAAAATGCTTCTACTTGCAGAAAATAAGGTAGCACTTCAGTATTTGAGGCAGCGTAATTTGATAGCCTCTCCATTAGACGTGAAAGCACCGTCATGATGTCAACTGAAGGCTGGGAAAACAAGGGTAGAAGATGAGATCAGCATAAGGTTTATATATAGGTTAAAAAAAGACCAAAGGAATTCAGAGGCAGAAGTGTTACTGATCTCTAGGGAAACATCACATAACTACTTTTCTTTTTAACATCAGTGGGAATAGGTAAATGCCTAACTATGAGAGGATTAATTCGTGCTACCTGAAGTTGTGGACAAGCACCTAGAAGTACATCAAGAGTCTGCAAGTGGTATTCATCAGGAAATACTTGAATTATACAGTCCATAAGGTAGTATTGTGCAATCTCATCTCTGCAATTCACAATCTGGGAATTCATCACAGTAAAATCAATGTCTGGTCAGGATGCAAAATATGTTCATGTGGGTGTGTGTGCATGGGTCTATGCAGAAACACATACAAGCATCATATATTTGATAAAATGATTTTACCTGCTCTAAAACTCTTGGAAGAACAGTATCTCTGTACAAATCAAGATCAACACCTTCTAACTGACTCAGTACATGAAGATTCTTTCCAACCTGATAATGTAATGGGGGGAAAATGTAGACCTCCATCAATGCAAATGCATTGTAGGCAATCTTTCAAAACAAATTTACCAGCCGCAGGGGAGTAATATTACAAGATCACGTAGCTCACTCCTCTCTTTTTCCCGCCTCTCCTTTTCTCGGGTAGGTCCCTGCAGACCAGAAAGCCCGACAGCAACCTTCAACTCAGGATCAGCAAAGAGTAATGATTTACAGGCAATATAACACCTGCATGATCAGAAATCATGCCTCAAGATGTATTTTTATCTTCACTTCATGCAAACATTCTGATTGCCCATGCCAAACTCGAGAACAATATTAATTTTAAAACTATATCGAGTCATACATTATCGTAATAAAAAAAATTACTATGAAATTATTAGTAACGGCTATAACGAGTGTTTTTTGTATAGTTTCGAGTATAAAACTGAAAAACTCAAGGTCGTATATATAATTGAAAGAAAAGGGAACGACAAGGGGTTAGTTGATAAGTTTTAAAATATGGGGGTGAAAATATGAAGTAGAAACAAATACGGATACAGAAAGAAAAGTGGGAAATCACATAGGAAGGCTTGGAGGCACGTGGGGTGTGGTTTTCACCTTTCATTTTGTCTGTCTCCAGCTCACCATTTTTTCCCACTTCTTAAAAAAATAAAACACTTTAATAATTTTATTTTTCCTTTAAATATTTGTATAATTTCAATTTCAATTTTGAACTGTTAAATAGTTGATATTGCAATGAATAGTTTAATCTGTTATTAACTGGACATTCGTATAATAAAATACAATTTCTAACGTAAAATAGATTTCTCTATACATTCAAAAGCTAAACAATATATATATTTTTTTATATGGAACATTCAGTTGGAGGTGAGAAGAGTCGTGGGTTTTCCATAATATAAGTTATCTATATTTTTTTTATTGCTTATAAATAAAATTCATTTAAATAGTTGAGATATTGAGAGATGTACATAAAAAATAATTTAACGTATATAATTTTGATGTTTCAACAATAATAAAAAAATTGTGGATAAGATGATAAGACACTTGATGTTAC